GCCACGCGGGCCCCCGCAGCAGTCCCAGAGGCAGGGCGGCTCTGTGGCGAAGCCGTCCCGGGCCCCGCAACGTGATGCAGTCCTTGGGAGGGCAGAGAGGAGCGGGCCCGCCTGCCTGCCGCGCGGCTGGCAGCTTCGCCCGTCCTCTGCCCGCCAACAGGACTCCCTCGGCTCTTCCCTCCCGCACGTGGGTGCATCACAGTTCCTCTGCTCCCCCGAAGGGGTGGCCAGCTTGGGTGCCGGAGCCCTCCTGCCTGCGGGGATGGCCGCGCAGCCTGGCACAGGGAGCGGGGTGGCGTGGGCCGGTGGGCTGCTCGGCAGGAAGCTTTCTTGACACCAGGTCTTTGCTTATGGAGGACACTTGAGCTTTCCAGGTGTACAGCCGTTATCTTGGTTTTAGCACTCTCCAGCTGGGCCGGGTCCCCGTCACTCAACGCTCGTCTTCAGGTCTGGTGCTAGCAGGCTCTCACGCAGCCTGCAGCCGGCATGGTCTCCAAGGGTGATTTAACAGTGTAAGAAAAACAGTCCCGTGTTCCTAACGTTTCTGTGTGCTAAAACTAAAATATAAAATACACCTTGTCCTAGCAGGCAGGGGATTGGCGTCGGCTCTGCAGGGTAGTAAAGAGGCATTGTGTACACTTCCCCTGGGGCACCAGGGCAGAGAGAGATCTCGAAATGTGAATGATTACGTGTTCAGCCGTCGTCCACAACCCTTCCGCGCTGCAGCCTGTCCTACTCGCTGTCACTCTTGTCCACCAGTACCGCGTCGGACTCCTCCGTGATCTCCAGCAGCGTGTGCATCTCGGGGCTCTCCCCACGCAGCAGATCCGAGTTTTCTCCCTCCTCTCCACCAACCTCCGCCAGCTCCGTGGCTTTCACTTCCACCTCGCCCTCTCTTATTTTCTTGACGTGGAAAGTGAAAGGTGGCACTTTGTAGACGGCTGTCTTGGACCTGGCATAGATGGTGTGGTCAGGGGTGAAAGACTTCCTCAGCTTGTCCCGAGAGGTCTTCATCTTCTCTCTCCTTTCGTTAGTCACAATCTTGGTGCCCAGTTTGTTCATCCTCTTCTCCAGGTTGTGGCGGGTCTTCTCCAAGTTGTGGCGAGTCTTCTCCAGGTTTTCCTTGGTCTTTAGCTTAGTCTTCTCCATCTTCTCCTTTGAGAATGCCTTCTTAAAGTCATCCACTCTTTTCATGCCGCTCCTTTTGATGCGCTCTGCCCGTGACTCTTCGATAATCTCTTCAATCTCCACCTCTTCATCCGAGGAGAGCTGGACGTGGTCCTCCTCTGCATGGTCCTCACCCACAGGCACCTCCTCGCCCTCGCCTTCCTTCTCTAGCTTTTCACCCTCCTTCAGAGACTTGCTGATGCTCAGTTTAGACGGGAGCTTCACTTCATCCTGCAAGACACAGAGCGGAGCCAGTGAGACACACGCACCCGGCCTCCCCGGCCTCGGGAGCCAGCCCGCCCTGCCCAGCCCCGCCGCAGAGCAGAAGCACAGCTACGGTTCATACGATGCACGGCTAAACCCACCCAGGCGATGTCAGGCCTGGGCTCATCCCCCCGATAAATTACTGTAAAGAGGATCTGCTCTGCCTGCAGCAGCTTAGGGCTCTGCTGCATTTAAGCTCGGGTACGCCAGCTCTGCTCACTCTGGGCTTGTTCCAAACCCACCCGTGACTCCGGCGGCGCAGGAAGAGGCAGCCCAGCACTGAAACTGGAGACTTTTCCCTTCCTCCCGTGCCCCTGTCACAGTCCCGGCCCCTCCAGTTTCATCTTCATCCCAGGACCTGGCCATCGCAGGACCCCGCTCCTGGCCCCAGAGAAGGCCCGGCATCCTGCCATGGAGGGGCGCAGGGAACCCGCTGGAGCCACGTGCTGCCCCTTTGCTCCCCAGCGCCTGTCCGCAGCCCTTCCCGTCCCCTCCAGCCCACGGCATTTCAGCTTCCTTCCCGCGGGTGGTCTTCTCTCGGTAAGACTGCTGCCTGCCCCCAGCTCTCCGGCCTGGCCAGGGCCCGGCCCGCAGCGGCCCCGGGCACGGCACTGCGCTGCAGATGGCAGCACGGCTCGGAGCCGTGAGTCTGGCCACGCGTGCACACGCTGGCCTGGCCGACCCCGCTCTGCGCTCAGACTTTCCCAAGGCCTGCAGGATCCAGATGTGGGGCTGGGACATCTCTTGGGATGCAGCAGGCCGCCCTGTTTTTCCCATTTTTCTGCTGGGAAATAAGTTAGGGAATTTGTCCGAGCCCGTAACTGAAGAGGGCAGAGACAGCCCTGACTCACAAAATAGGTCTGCAAGGTTACGCTGTCTCTCCTCGGGACGAGGGGTGAATTCATTCAGCTTCTCCACTCTCCTGGGTCAGCCAAGTTTCTGATCCCGGTGGCAGAGGACAAGCATGTGCCCAGGAGAGGGGCACAGGTCTGGAGTGGGATTGGTTTTCATCTGAGCAGCACATAGCGTGCGTCCCTGCTGCAATGAATCACCTCTCTGTTCCCAGGACAGGCTGGAAATAGCCCATCACTGTACAAAGCGTCACAGCTGCGGGGCTGCAGCCCAGGGCTCAGAAATTCATTGCCTGAGCGATTTTAATCTATGGAGCTGGGCGGGAGAGGTGTGGAGCTGCCGAGACGAGCGCTGTCAGAAAGCCAGCAGCAGCCGAAAGGCAGCGTGTAGAACGGGCACGCAGAGAGCGGAGCTGCTGGGCTGAGATTTGGAGAAAAGCCTGAGCAGCAGGACGGCCGAGTGCCGTTCCCAGCCCCAGGGCAGACAGGAGCTGAACAGAGCAGGGACGGGGGATCCCAGTCCAACACTGGGAGGAGCAGGGCCCAGTGAAATCAAGGGGCAGACCCCGGGGTACCCCAGGCCCACGTGCTTGAATGATGTGGCAAACACCAGCAGCGACTCGCCTTCCCCCAGCTCGGGGATGCCAGGAGTGGAGATGCCCGTGTCCTGGGACGGTGAATTTGCCGTGGCATCTCCCATGCACGGCTGCACGCTCCGCGTGTCACGTTTACACAGCAGCAGCCGCTGCACCAACGCAGCCGTGAGCTAACGAGCTATGCAGATGTCAAGAGCCAGGACACCCGTGATGGTCAAACCACCAAAACAGCCGCTGAGGCCCAGCCCCGAAGAGCAGCACCAGCTCCAGCCCCGCTTCTGCGCAGGTTTCTCTGGTGCCGCCGTGGCAGAGGACGTCCTGATCCCTCGTGCAGTGCTGGAAGGGACGGCGTGTTTGCACGCCCGCGCCCTGAGCGCTTTCCGAACACTGCACCAACACGCTGCTGCTCCGGCTGACCCAGGTCACCGACGCGCTGCGGCCCCGGACGGAGCCCCTGGACGGAGGCAGGGCAGGACGCTCCCTCTGCAGACACGGGGCTGCTCGGCTCGGCCACCTACGCTGTCCCCAGCTCCTCCTTCCCTTATACCACTTGCGAACTGACATAAGCTTACTGGATATGTGACTCCAGCACAGCTTCACCTGGAAAAACTTTGTGAACAATGAAAAGTCAGCTCCATGGAGCGCTGGGCTCAGTGAAGGCAACAGGGGCTGCAGTGTCTGCAGTCAAAACACAGAGTCTGCCAGAGCAGGGGTTTCGTTCTGGGTTTTGAGCAGGGAGCTGCGCTGGGCAAAGCTCTTCACCCTCCGGATCACAGCTTAGGTCCCAAATACTTTCTGGAGGTTAAGGTGAAGTGGCCAACATATGTTTTCTTCATTTGATTCGCCACTTCAGGAAAAAACAATACACGTGCTCTCCAGAGGGTCAGGTCGGTCCAGAACAAACCCCCATCGCTGGGAGGGCAGGGATCCTGTTCTCCACAACAACACCTGCTGGAGCAATCCCAGAGACTCCCGGGGACCCTGCCCTGCCGAGCCAAGAACATCAGGAACTCCATCCACTTCCTTCCCTCGAGTCAACACAATGAGCCAGAACAAAGGCATCCCCCTCTCGCCTGGCACGACTGTCACTGGAAACAGGCCATATCCTGCAAACTCAGATACTGATCAGCCCCTCCTGAGCTCCAGAACATGCGTGTGCAGAAAGAAACACCACCTCAAAACCTCCATGTCTGCCACATAAATAACTGCCTTTCCACACGTTACACCAGCAAACCCATCTTCTGGCTAAATTCTCTGATGCGGCTGAATGGGCTGCACCAGCAACACACGCGTCCGACCTCGGCAGCATCCTGCAACTCTTCCCTCACAACCGTGAAGACGTGGCCAGCAGCAGCTCCCGGTACATGGGACAGCCGGAGCAACCCTGTCAGGGTGACGGTGTGGCTCCCTGTCATCCCTGCCACTTAACCCCGAGAACAGCAATTGCCCGGCTGTTTGATCCTAACTCCCACAGACTGCACTTACGTACAGACCCACGCTTCTGCCACCCCGGGCACCGTCCCCGCCGGCAGCTGCCCTAGCCCCAGCCCAGTAGCGCTCATGGACTGGAGACTCTGCTCACGCCTCTCTCCGGAGGCTCCCTCATTGCTCAAACACAGATGCAAAGTGGGAGCAAAGCTATTCCCATAAGTAAGGATGCCTGCATTCCCAGCCTCCCCCCTCGAGACTGTTTCCTTGAGCTCTTCTCCAGCTGCACTTGGGAAACATTTGCAATCCCCACCCGTCCCCTTTCCCGCAGGGCCGGGGTGACCGGGGCCGACATGCCTGCCACAGGGCCATCGGGCCAGCCGAGGGCCCCCGGGCAGTGCATCTCTCTCTCCTATGCCTGGTATCATTCCTGCATTTTTTTTCCCTGACTCTTCTTCAATCTGACTGCTTACCCGAGCCGTAGAGAACCAGCTGGGGGACAGCTGGGGGATTTTCAGGACTGTGTGCCCTGACTTCCCCGACTCAGCCCACCTGCACCTAGGGAGCATTCATGCCGGTGCAGCAGGCGCTGGGTCAGCGACAGGCGCTGGCTCACGCACGGGACAGCTGGCGTGAGAACAACCAACAGCTCTGGCGCGTCTTAACGGGGACCGGCACGTTGCTGCTGAGCATCCCTCGCGTGTAGCTCCCACCTGCGCCCAGGCACTGCCCAAACGCCAGCAAGGGCCTCCCCCTCCCTGCTTGAGAGGTGCTTCTCCCGTGGGGAAGGGGCCTGCCCGGTGCGGGCAGAAGGTGCCTCGGACACAGCCGCGTCTGCCTGCGGCGGAGGACCGTGGGACCTCGCTGGAACAATCAAGAACCATCCCGGGGGTACGGGTGGCTGCTGCACAAATCCCTGCTCTGGGCAAGGCACTACGGTCCCTGCACTTTATTTCACTCATGACTCATCCAGATGAGCCACATTTTTAACACCAGGCATTCCAGCTACTCTATTTTTACTGGGAAAACACTGACCCTTGAAGTGGGTGAGTCCAAAATCCTGGGTCTTGGCATCCCTGCCTGTTGGGGTGTTCAAACCCTGGCTCCCAGTCAGCGAACGCAAACCAGTTCTGTCCTCTGACAGCTTGAATCCAGCTGGCACAAAGACAGTGGGTAAACAAGATTTCTCAGAATATTTTTATACCAGCAGAAGAAAAATCTTCCTGCTCTGTGCCCAAAGCACAGCTACGCCCAGCAGGACAGGCAGCACCCGCGTGTGTGCTGGGCCTGAGCTCGCTGCCGCCTGATGTGCCTCACAGAGAGGTTCAGCTCCGATGCAAGTTCCACTTTCCTTTGACCCACCGACGGCGTGCCACCCCCCGGCCCATTTCACAATCCGACGCGTAGAGCTGTGCTGGCCCTTCGGCACAGACCCCCCCGGGGAAGCGGTTTGCTTTGGGTAGCTCCCTCTCGACGGCCCGCGGACCCTGTGGGCGCCCGTCCCCAGCATCGAAGGCAGCCGGCTGCCCGCTGACGGGGCGCCGGGCTGCTCTGTGTTCCTCCTGCTTCAAACAATTCACCAGGCAGACCGGCCTCTGCCTTGCTCCACTAAGCGGGCTTTTATCTGATGTTGTTTTCAAGCCGAGTTCCCTTGCCGTGAGTCACCCAGGCAGCCCTGTACGGCCATGTACACACCGCCTGGTTGCTACAACACATGTAAACACTTCCCCTGTTGTATAAAAGGCCAATGAGACACAAAGCCGAGCTGCATTCCCAGCCTAGCAGGGCTCTTCAAGCACTGCAGAATCACCGGCAATCTGGGGAACCTTCCCAAAATGCAAGGGCTCCAGGATTGCTCTTGAAGAGGCTCTTATTGTCAGCGTGTAAAAAACAGAGCCCCAGAACGCCCAGCCACTCCGATCTCCAGTTTGAAGGTTTAATGGAGGATTTTTCACACGCACATGCTAATCACATCTGTAATTCATTTCGTTCAGTTATTTTTACACAATTGCAACAGCACAAACAGCTGAATTTGGTTGACATGCAGCCGTAACATGCAGAACATGGCCAGCTCGCATGCCCAGGCTCTGCT